GTGGTCCCACCACCGACATCTTGCAGGGGTGAAGGATGTGCGTGCATGAACCCCGACCGAGGCCCCAGCGTGCATGGATAGAGACATCCATCACCCCCGCAAGATGTCTGTGGTCCCACCACTGACATCTTGCGGGGGTGAGGGATGCCCGTGCATCCCCGACCGAGGCCCCAGCGTGCATGCACAGACCCAGAACAATGCACCAGGCTCGGTCAGACCCCAGCATGCATGCACAGACCAATGCACGAGGCTCGGTCAGACCCAGAACAATGCACCAGGCTGGGTCAGACCCCAGCATGCATGCACAGACCCAGAACAATGCACCAGGCTCGGTCAGACCCCAGCATGCATGCACAGACCAATGCACGAGGCTCGGTCAGACCCAGAACAATGCACCAGGCTGGGTCAGACCCCAGCATGCATGCACAGACCCAGAACAATGCACCAGGCTCGGTCAGACCCCAGCATGCAGGTCCAGGCTCAGTCAGTCAGACTACAGTAGGTGGTGGCTCCAAGGCTCCCAGGCTGCCAGGCTCAAGGCCCACCCCTAACCCGTGCCGCCATGTCTTCATGGACTTCGTCGTGATCACTCTTCGGCTGTGGCCGCAGCCGCAGCCGCAGCCTCAGGGGGGGGGGGGGGCAGGACGAGAGCAAAAATCATGTTATAGCATGACATGCAATGACAGTCAGCTGCTTTGACTTGCGATTCCTGTCACGGCGGCTCCCAGGCACTTTAGGCTCCCAGGCACTTTAGGCTCCCAGGTTTCAGTCAGTTCCACTGAGGTTTTGAACGCCTGCCGACGGCCGCCGCGGCTCTGCGAAGACAAGCCGCCAGTTTTGCATTTACCCATGGAGTGTTGCATGCATGCCTTGAGTGTTTGCCGTGCACCACATGCAATCAGAGTCAGCTGCTTTGACTTGCGAGTGTTGCCACTGGAGTGTTTGCCGAGCACCACATGCAATGACAGTCAGCTGCTTTCACTTTAGGCTCCCAGGCACTTTAGGCTCCCAGGTTTCAGTCAGTTCCACTGAGGTTTGAACACCTGCCGACGGCCGCCGCGGCTCTTCGAAGACAAGCCGCTCTCTCTCTCTCACACGGACTCGGGGGAGAGAGAGAGAGCGGCTTGTCTTCGAAGAATGTTTGCCGTGCACCACATGCAATCACAGTCAGCTGCTTTGACTTGCGAGTGTTGCCACTGGAGTGTTTGCCGAGCACCACATGCAATGACAGTCAGCTGCTTTCACTTTAGGCTCCCAGGCACTTTAGGCTCCCAGGTTTCAGTCAGTTCCACTGAGGTTTTGAACACCTGCCGACGGCCGCCGCGGCTCTTCGAAGTTTGAAGACAAGCCGCCAGTTTTGCATGCACCCGTGGAGTGTTGCATGCATGCCTAGAGTGTTTGCCGTGCACCACATGCAATCACAGTCAGCTGCTTTGACTTGCGAGTGTTGCCACTGGAGTGTTTGCCGAGCACCACATGCAATGACAGTCAGCTGCTTTCACTTTAGGCTCCCAGGCACTTTAGGCTCCCAGGCACTTTAGGCTCCCAGGTTTCACTCAGTTCCACCGAGGTTTCCTGCCGAAGGCCGCCGCGGCTCTTCGAAGACAAGCCGCCAGTTTTGCATTTACCCGTGGAGTGTTGCATGCATGCCTAGAGTGTTTGCCGTGCACCACATGCAATCACAGTCAGCTGCTTTGACTTGCGAGTGTTGCCACTGGAGTGTTTGCCGAGCACCACATGCAATGACAGTCAGCTGCTTTCACTTTAGGCTCCCAGGCACTTTAGGCTCCCAGGTTTCAGTCAGTTCCACTGAGGTTTGAACACCTGCCGACGGCCGCCGCGGCTCTTCGAAGACAAGCCGCTAGTTTTGCATTTACCCGTGGAGTGTTGCATGCATGCCTAGAGTGTTTGCCGTGCACCACATGCAATCACAGTCAGCTGCTTTGACTTGCGAGTGTTGCCACTGGAGTGTTTGTCGAGCACCACATGCAATGACAGTCAGCTGCTTTCACTTTAGGCTCCCAGGCACTTTAGGCTCCCAGGTTTCAGTCAGCCCCACTGAGGTTTTGAACACCTGCCGACGGCCGCCGCGGCTCTTCGAAGTTTGAAGACAAGCCGCCAGTTTTGCATGCACCCGTGGAGTGTTGCATGCATGCCTAGAGTGTTTGCCGTGCACCACATGCAATCACAGTCAGCTGCTTTGACTTGCGAGTGTTGCCACTGGAGCGTTTGTCGAGCACCACATGCAATGACAGTCAGCAGCTTTCACTTTAGGCTCCCAGGCACTTTAGGCTCCCAGGTTTCACTCAGTTCCACTGAGGTTTCCTCCGACGGCCGCCGCGGCTCTTCGAAGACAAGCCGCCAGTTTTGCATTTACCCGTGGAGTGTTGCATGCATGCCTAGAGTGTTTGCCGTGCACCACATGCAATCACAGTCAGCTGCTTTGACTTGCGAGTGTTGCCACTGGAGTGTTTGCCGAGCACCACATGCAATGACAGTCAGCTGCTTTCACTTTAGGCTCCCAGGCACTTTAGGCTCTCCCAGGTTTCAGTCAGTTCCACTGAGGTTTTGAACACCTGCCGACGGCCGCCGCGGCTCTTCGAAGACAAGCCACCAGTTTTGCATGCACCCGTGGAGTGTTGCCCCTGGAGTGTTTGCCCAGCACCACATGCAATGACAGTCAGCTGCTTTGACTTGCGAGTGTTGCCGCTGGAGTGTTTGCCGAGCACCACATGCAATGACAGTCAGCTGCTTTGACTTGCGATTCCTGTCACGGTGACTCCCAGGCACTTTAGGCTCCCAGGCACTTTAGGCTCCCAGGTTTCAGTCAGTTCCACTGAGGTTTTGAACGCCTGCCGACGGCCGCCGCGGCTCTGCGAAGACAAGCCGCCAGTTTTGCATTTACCCATGGAGTGTTGCATGCATGCCCAGAGTGTTTGCCGTGCACCACATGCAATCACAGTCAGCTGCTTTGACTTGCGAGTGTTGCCGCTGGAGTGTTTGCCGAGCACCACATGCAATGACAGTCAGCAGCTTTCACTTTAAAGGCTCCCAGGCACTTTAGGCTCCCAGGTTTCAGTCAGTTCCACTGAGGTTTGAACACCTGCCGACGGCCGCCGCGGCTCTTCGAAGACAAGCCGCTAGTTTTGCATTTACCCGTGGAGTGTTGCATGCATGCCTAGAGTGTTTGCCGCGCACCACATGCAATCACAGTCAGCTGCTTTGACTTGCGAGTGTTGCCGCTGGAGTGTTTTCCGAGCACCACATGCAATGACAGTCAGCAGCTTTCACTTTAAAGGCTCCCAGGCACTTTAGGCTCCCAGGTTTCAGTCAGTTCCACTGAGGTTTGAACACCTGCCGACGGCCGCCGCGGCTCTGCAAAGGCAATCCGCGAGTTTTGCACGCACCCGTGGAGTGTTGCCAATGGAGTGTTTGCCGAGCACCACATGCAATCACAGTCAGTTGCTTTGACTTGCGAGTGTTGCCGCTGGAGTGTTTGCCGAGCACCACATGCAATGACAGTCAGCTGCTTTGACTTGAAATTCCTGTCACGGTGGCTCCCAGGCACTTTAGGCTCCCAGGCACTTTCAGTCAGTTCCACTGAGGTTTTGAACACCTGCCGACGGCCGCCGCGGCTCTTCGTGAAGGCAAGCCGCCAGTTTTGCATGCACCTGCGGAGTGTTGCATGCATGCCTGGAGTGTTTGCCGTGCACCACATGCAATCACAGTCAGCTGCTTTCACTTGCGTTTCCTGTCACGGTGGCTCCCAGGCTCTTTCAGGCTCCCAGGTTTCAGGCTCCTGAAGCAGGAGTCAGACCAGTTCCTGGGTTAGCATATGTCAAGCAGCGCGGACAGTGACATCATGGCTGCATTGAAGCTCCGAGCGAAGGCGGTCGAGTCCACGGACACCGCCGCAGCTGCGGCTGCACAGCCGTCCGAGACGGTGGATTCGGAGGGCTTCACAGTGGTCTCAGATCCCGCCAAAAAGGAGGACCAGCAGCAGCAGCAGCCTGGCTCGGGATCGACTTCGTTGGCAAGGGCCAGTGACGATGCCACTTCGTCGGATGTCGGCGAGAACATCCCACAAGTCCTTCAGTCCATGATCAAACCGGCGATGCTGCGCTACAAGGCTACGGATCTCCAGTCCCACTATATGCACATTGGCTTAAACGACTGGGAGTTCAAGTTAGATGTTACATTAATTATTTGGTTTATTGCTTTGAACTTATAATTAATCAGTTTTTTATTTTAATAATTATTATTATTATAGATCCTCCAGGCACCTGAAGCAAGCGCCGGACCTGCTGAGAGACCGTTACGACACGAGTGAGCAGTTCACGTGGGCACTGGCAGGGTTCAATGCGTATCGCAGCTCATTCTACCCAGACGGCAGTTTTTCCGACAATTGTGGCATCATAGCATGTACCTCGGCAGAATAACATTAAAATTTAATTTAATAATATAATAATTAATAATTAATTTAGTAATCATAATAATTAATCATATTAATATAGTAGGTTGTAGTTTAGTTTTTCATTTGAATTGTTCTGAAGATCGTGTCAACTCAGATTTCCCGTGGGAAGACATGGAGGTTATGCCCAAGTTGCAGAGCATCGCGACGTCCATGCCGCCGCAGAATGCAACGCCGCAGGTGTACTCTGTTGTACCTGAGCCTGATGAAGTTATTAATTAACTTAAATCTGTGAATGAATGTAATTATTATTAATTGCACTGAGGTGGCGTGCTGCATCCGGGAGCTTCTGGATCAGTTTCTCTATGCGCCTGACGAAAAGGTGGTCCGCATCCTCTTGTTCCCATACATAGCAAACGGGGCTGCGCGAGGATGTATGTTGAATCGCTTCGAACCCTGGCTAGGCTAGATCGAAGTTGGAGTAACAGATTGTTTGCATCGTTTGACTTATTATATATGACTCATTCGACTGAGTCCAGACTTAACCAAGGACCAGGATCCCCAGTGGGCAGGATGGTCACTGCCGATCATGACGGATGGCTTGCTCTTGTCGGTGTCATCGTACGCCCAGGATGTCTTGGCCTTTGCCTCCATGTTCTTGAACAAATGCGGGTTCCTGTCAGCGGTACCAAGATCTGCTCCGATAGGCATTGCTGCGCAGACCTTCGCATCCGTGGAGGAGAGGAACGAGATGATGCTCCAAAACAGTTTCCTCCGCGAGCGCTTCACCGAGGAGTATGAAAACAAGCTGTACAAGTGCGGCGTGCGGCTTGCTGTCTTCAACCAAGCCCTGCGGCAACTTGGCTCAGTATTTTGTGCCGTTCCGTTATGATTAAATTATTTATTAATTAGATAAAAATCCAAGGCGGTCGGAGGTGATGACCAACACTGCCCGGATGGATGCCGGGTTTGGGCACTTCATTACGCCACTCCCTGCCGACGGCCTTGAGATGGCGGCGCTGTACGGATCCAAGTCTTTGTGGGCGACCGATCAAGGCTATTTCTACTCCATCGGCCTGATCCCAGCGACGGTTTGCGCTTCGAAGAAGTTCGTCACTGAGACGAAGATGCCGTTCTGTGAGGTGATCAAGGGCGATCTGGACGAGACCATGGAGGACTTCCGCTTCTCGAAGAAGAGGGAGGTGACCTTCGCCTACCTGGGCGATGGGGACGACTTCGGGCTCTTCTTGGATGGCTACACTCTGGCGCCTGGGCGATTTTAAATAAAATAGTTTAGTATTAACTTGACTGATAACCTTCCATCCCAGGAACGCGTGATCCTGTGGAAGCGGGTGCCCTTGGTGATGAAGTTTCAGCGGCACCTGGATGCCATTGGCAGGCCGTACACGGTCACCCTCTGCCGGTGCGGTAAATGGGGGCGACAGGTCGACTTGGCCATGAAATACTCAGGCACCAGGAACCCTGATCAGTGAAGCCTGCTGACTGTTTCATTGCTGGCTGGCTTTGTTTTGCACAGGCGATCCCCAGGCCCCTAGGCTCCTAGGTTCTAAGGCTGGGATGTCTTGAGGAGCCATGATTTATATTAATGACAATAATACAAAAGTGATATGATTCATGTGTAAATGTATTATAGCTTTGTTTCACTCAAGTTCAAGGTTCCAAGGCTCCCAGGCTCCCAAGGCTCCTAGGCTTAGGATCTTGGCCGAACGCACAGGGGGACAAGCAGCTTGTGCCAATTCAAAGATTTCAAGCCAGCCAGCCACGACGGAATCCTGGCATTGTCCAGCTGGCCAGAATCCTGGCATGTGCAGAGCAACGTCAAGTCTAGTCGATGTTGCCTGCACCCTCCAGCCGTGCGGCCGACAGCGAGCGCACATGCAAAAACAATGCTTTCTTCAATCAGCTTGTCAAGTAAAACCCCCCAGCCCGATAAACCGCAGAACCCCCCCCCCCGCGGCAGGCGATCTTCATCCCGGCCCGGCTTGCCTGCTCAGGCCAGCGGGAATTCAGGCTTTTTTGAAGGGTATCCATAAACCCTAAACCCTAAACCCGTGGAGCCTTGCCTGCCTGTGCGAGTGTGAGCGTCGAAAACCCTAAACCCTAAACCCTAAACCCTAAACCTTACTCGCCGAGGCTCGGCAGCGGAATCCGCGCTGGAGCCGGAGGCGGGTTCGGGTTTGTAAGGACTTAGGCTTAGGGTTTAGGGTTTGTAAGGATTTAGTTAGGGTTTGTAAGGACTTAGGGTTTAGGGTTTAAGTAAGGATTTAGGGTTCAGGGTTTGCAAGGAGTTAGGGTGAAGGGTTTGTAAGGACTTAGGCTTAGGGTTTAGGGCTTGTAAGGAATTTAGGGTTTAGGGACTCGCGGAAGGTTCCATTAAGTTAATTCCAAAACCCTTAAAGCCCAAACCCTAGACCCTAAGTCCTTACAAACCCTAAACCCTAAGGCCTTACAAACCCTAAACCCTAAGCCTAAGTCCTTACAAACCCTTAACCCTAAGTCCTTGCAAACCCTGAACCCTAAATCCTTAAACCCTAAACCCTAAGTCCTTACAAACCCTTAACCCTAAGTCCTTGCAAGCCCTGAACCCTAAATCCTTACTTAAACCCTAAACCCTAAGTCCTTACAAACCCTAAACCCTAATTCCTTACAAACCCTAAACCCTAAGCCTACGTCCTTACAAACCCTTAACCCTAAGTCCTTGCAAACCCTGAACCCTAAATCCTTACTTAAACCCGTAACCCTAAGTCCTTACAAACCCTAAACCCTAAATCCTTACAAACCCTAAACCCTAAACCCTAAGTCCTTACAAACCCTAAACCCTAAATCCGATAAACCCTAAACCCTAAGTCCTTACAAACCCTAAACCCTAAATCCTTGCAAACCCTGAACCCTAAATCCTTACAAACCCTAAACCCTTACAAACCCTAAACCCTAAATCCTTACAAACCCTTAACCCTGTTGCTTCGGAGTTACCCTGCAATGCGGGCTTCGTCCTTGCTAGGTAGCCTTAAACCCTTAGCCCCGAAACCCTAAACCCCAATCCCCTAAACCCTAAACCCCTCTGCCATCGCATCAAAAAAACCCTAAACCCCTGTAAACCCTAAACCCTAAACCCCTAAACCCCTAAACCCTAAACCCCTAAACCCCTAAAACCCTACCCTAGACCCCTAGACCCCTAAACCCCTAAACCCCTAAACCCCGAAAACCCTAAAACCCTAAACCCCTAAATCCCTAAACCCTTAAATCCCTAAATCCTAAACCGGAGTTCACACAAAGGCATGTCCCGTATCGGGCATCGCCGCGGGGCTCAGCCCTATGAACACGCTGCTCGAATTGGGACGAGCTAAGCGTGGTATGGCAACAACTCCACGGGGCAATCCTGGAGGCCATACGGCGAGTACAATTGCCTGCCGGTCGCGGCAAACTGGGGCTGCACATGGCAGCACGGCAACGCCACAGCCATGCGGTACTGGAAGTTCCAGACCACAAACGCATGGAGACTGCGCAGCGGCTGTGAGCCGGCGCTCCGGTCCACGGACCCTCAGAAGCGCGTACATGCGCGTATAGCGTGACAGAAACACATTGTCACGCACGCGTCACGCGTCCGCGAGGGCCCCTAGGCTCCAAGGCTCCAAGGCTCCGAAGGATTTTGTTTGGCAAACCCCTCACAAAAATGATTAAAGAGGTAGTGGCGGGGTTTAGCAACGTTTTTGTTGAAAGTAGGCCATAAATCGTCTAAACCCTAAACCCTGGACCCTATTAAATTCCAGACCCTAAACCCTTAAGATTATCACCATCTTACGGTACTCGGCTGCAGTCGATTCATTAAAATCCCTTTGAACGCCTATGACCCCGCCGTAAGCCTAACACCCTGCCCATAGCCCGCTCCCTAAAGCCTGGTACCCCTAAAATGCCCACTCCAGTAAAGGCTTCAACCCCTAACAGCCCCCATGAGGGTTTAGGGTTTAGGGTTAAAGTTTAATTTCAAAATTATTATTTTAAATTAAGTAACATTTAATTAAATAATAAGTTAAAATGAAAGTAAACCCTAAACCCCGTTCTTGATCGTCGATAATTGCTGAAACCCAGGTTACACTCGAAACCCTGGACACCAAACTACCTAAATCCTAAAGCCCCCTGTACCCCCTGTATTCCTTAAGCAAAGCACACACCAAAACTTGACAGGACCCTTCAATGCACCCGGATGACCCTTGGATGCAACGATCAGGCCAGGCACTGCATCTAAGGGTGTTTTGTGTGCATCCAAGGGTCATTGAGGGGTACTGGTCTGGTGGGATCATCGCCTTTGCTTCTGTCCCAGTGCCAGTCACTCGTCGCGAAGTTTGAAGTTGTCAGCAAGTGCTGCATTCAACTTAAACGTTGCATTCAAGGCTCCAGGCACCAAGGCACCCAGGCTCTCAGGCTCCAAGGCCTAGTAGAGTGTGCATTTTGACCCTACCCACACAGTGTACGCTGCCGTTACGTCACTGTGGGCACCGTTGGCCGGGTGTCGGGCCGCAGGAACTCAGCCTTGAGGCCAACCTGCCAAGGCAGTGGCAGATGACAGCTGGGCCAATGGGCTAATGCGCCAGCTGGGGCAAAATCTGGGCCAGGGATCCTGTTGTCCCGCCAGATTGTTCCTGCAATGAGGGGGAGGCTTTACTGCTGGGATCATCGGCTTTGCTTCTGTCCCAGTGCCAGTCACTCGTCGCGAAGTCTGAAGTTGTGCAAGTGCAGAATTCAAACTTTGCATTCAAGGCTCCAGGCCCCCAGGCCCCCAGGCGCCCAGGCTCTCAGGCTCTCAGGCTCCAAGCCCCTGAGGCTGCATGTCTACCAGCCCTCCGTGCGTCTCCAGGCACTTTGAGGCAGTGGCTGGATGGCTGGGGTTCGGGCTTTCAGAGTGCCACCGATGCCAGCACGTTTTGGTCTCGGGGCGACCAAGCTTCCACAAAGATTGATACAAGTCTTCAAACTCGTCATTGTTGTTCGTCGATGATAGTTGAAACCCAGGTTACACTCGAAACCCTCGTTACCAAACCACCTAAATCCTTAAAGCCCCCCTGTACACCCTGTAAATTCCTTAAGCAAAGCACACACCAAAACTTGACAGGACCCTTCAATGCACCCGGATGACCCTTGGATGCAACGATCAGGCCAGGCACTGCATCTAAGGGTGTTTTGTGTGCATCCAAGGGTCAATTGCTGAAACCCAGGTTACACTCGAAACCCTCGACACCAAGCCACCTTTATCCTAAACCCCACCCTGTACCACCTGTATTCCTTCAGCAAAGCACACACCAAAACTTGAAAGGACCCTTCAATGCACCCGGATGACCCTTGGATGCAACGATCAGGCCAGGCACTGCATCTAAGGGTGTTTTGTGTGCATCCAAGGGTCATTGAGGGGTACTGGTCTGGTGGGATCATCGCCGTTGCTTCTGTCCCAGTGCCAGTCACTCGTCGCGAAGTTTGAAGTTGTCAGCAAGTGCAGCAATTTAAACGTTACCGTTGCATTCAAGGCTCCAGGCACCCAGGCACCCAGGCTCTCAGGCTCCAAGGCCCAGTAGA